TTTTTCGGGTTGAGGCCGGGGTCCGATTACCATCTTAAAGGAATTGCTTTAAAAATCATGATGGTAACCCAGTAACCCTTTTTGAACCAGTTAGGGTAGTGGGATGAACGAATAGGATTCAACCAACAAAAATCATGGCTGAAGCAGCAGCAACCAACAAAGGACTTTCGTATTCACTGCCGATAAAGCTTCCGGAAGTGTGTGGGTAATCCCAAAAAGTGGTAGGTACTGCTAGAAATAGTGCTCCAGCCATGGTGCTCCAGCCGAATTTTCTGGTTTCGCGTCACGCAACCGCACTTCTTGTGAAGGCACACTACTTGTGGTGGCGTCTGGTAAAATGGGCTATGGTGACTCACTGGTTTGGTATAGAGGTTATTACACTACAATAGATTGAATTTTGAACATGAAAAGGTGAATCGAATGCCAAACTTTTGCAAATGGTATCGAAGGATAGCCATCAGAAGGCACGACAAGATATGATTTAAAAGAAGTAAGAAGATGTATTTCTATGTTTTTCTTATTTTGTGTTTGCAACCAGTTGAGAAACCAGCAGCTTGCGATCCCTTTGTAAAGGCACGGCTAATCTCACAAAATTCTTGCGGTTGTCATTGAAATCAACCGCTTACATCATTCCAATGGCATCCAGAACTTTGACAGGTACAAGCTAGTGCCCCAATGTTGCTAGCTAAGTTGGCGCAAATAACTCCAACAACTGTTGGGTTTATGGTAGATATATTGATATATCGAACTAGTTTTGGTGGGGTAAAACATCGTAAAACTCAAGCAACAAACATTTCACGACGGGGCACCACCGACCAAATATTGTGACCCGTGTGTTTGGATTGCCATTTCTTGGGCTAGCACCTGAACGGCCACAGTTCTTGCATGCGAATTGAACCAAGCCATTTTACCCTCTGGTAAACTAACATAACTATGGAAAATCACCATCTTTAATAGGTAAATCAACTATAAATGGGCCATGTTCAATAGCTATGTTAAATATTGTTAAATCACCCAGAGGGTAAGTTGGAACCAAAGCCAGTGTGACTGAAAACCACAAAGATCAGAGGAAACAACTCTGAACCATATCCTAGCACAAGATTACTCAATTGCAACCCTCTAGGTTGCCTTCCTGTGATGATGATTTGATAATATTTCTATATGTTAATATTATATATATATATATACATACATATATATCTGTTGGTTTATAGCACCATTCCCCATAGCTATAAAAATACTCTAGACCCTAGTTATAGGCCAACTTAACGAAAAAGCAGTGGCACCACCTTGTGGGGTTTTCACTGCAGCATCGGTGACACGTCCCGCAGCCTGCTTTCTCCCCACGTTTTGGCCGCGCTGCGACGGGACGTCCTCGACGGTTTCCCGGCGCCGCGCCGTCCATGGCGCCCAAGGCAGGGCTTTTTCGCTAGCCACAACCTGCGTTTTCAGAGTTGATTGGGATGATTTGTGATGTATCTTGACTATTTTGGAATTGAAAGTATCTAGATCTATGGGCCGGCTAAGAGTGGACCCTTACCATGTATACACATGAAAATACCGTAAGGTACTTCGGGTATCAACTGCCATTTTGCATCACTTTACACCCCAAGTCTGGCTTGTCCCGGCTTTTTGGGCAAGGGGTGCTAGGAAAAATGGTGGATGATTGGGATATAAGGATATTAATCAGATACACCCAATAACTGGGTAAACTGACTGTTAAACGGGTGAAAGGTAGTTTAAATACAACCCTTTTGTTCTGCTTGAATGCAAATATAAGTTAAGCGACGAAAAGGTTAGTCTTTGGTGGGCATCTATGATTGAATAGTGCAGACACCATGATCAAAGGGAATCAAAGGGAAAAGTGGATGATATTCTAGGCTAGACTAGCCACATGGGCGGAATTGAAATTGCTTTTATGTGTTTATGTATACTGTATCCACAAACATGTACACATACATACGCAATATATACCCTGCTAAAACAAGCTAAGCCAAAGCTCGGCCAATTTTGGCCGATTTTGGCACTCCCGTTGGGTTTTCCGATTCTCGCAGGTGACCAGATTTCATGTTGAGATTTGATGTGGTTCTATGGCAGGACCCACGTCGCTGATGCTGGTTGGTTTACAAAAAGAATGGTGGAGTTCGACCAAGAAAAATCCTGGCTTGAGCAGAAATGCTAATGTGTGACCCTTGAAAAATCTAGTTAGTTACGGGAGAGTTCCCTCTGTGTTCTCTATACCAGATTGCTAGGGTTGCTCCAATCCGATATAGATAGATGATTGCTGGAAAACAGAGGGAAATGGGTGATTTTACCTTTTGGTCTACCCTGTTTTTGGATGGTTTTTGTTGCCCTTGCTATCTCGGCGGGCAGCAACTCTGAATCATGCTTGGAGCTGCAGGACCGCAAAAATAGCTGGATCAGCCAACAACTGGTCAAATGATTTATTGATGTCAAATGATATATTGATGTCAATATAGTTGAATATAGTTCCCCACCTGCCAGGTGAGGGTTGTTAGATTTTATGTCAGTTGCCTCCTCCTGCCTCCTGCCTCGTCCTCCTCCTCCTCTCCTCCTCCTCCTCCTCGTCGTCCTCCTCCTCGTCGTCCTCCTCCTCGTCCTCCTCGTCCAACTGCGACCCGCGATCCACAGTGTTCTCTGTCAGACCTCAACCACGACCATCCATGCTCAGTGTTCCCTGCCGGACCTCAACCACGACCATCCACGCCCAGTGTTCCCTGCCGGACCTCAACCACGACCATCCCCGCCCAGTGTTCCCTGCCGGACCTCAACCACGACCATCCACGCCCAGTGTTCCCTGCCGGACCTCAACCGCGAGTATCCCCGCCCAGTGTTCCCTGCCGGACCTCAACCACGACCATCCACGCCCAGTGTTCCCTGCCGGACCTCAACCGCGAGTATCCACGCCAAAAGATATGCCACATAGAGTGCCAGAAGATATGCCAGATAGAATGTTAGAAGATATGCCAGATAGAATGTTAGAAGATATGCCAGATAGAATGCCAGAAGGTATGCCAGATAGAATGCCAGATAGAATGTCAGCTAGAATGCCAGAAGATATGCCAGATTAAGTGCCAGAATGTTTGCCAGATAGAATGCCAGCAGATTTGCCAGATAATATGCCAGAAGATATGCTAGATAGAATGCCAGATGGAATGCCAGAAGATTTGCCAGATAATATGCCAGAAGATATGCCAGATAGAATGCCAGATGGAATGCCAGAAGATATGCCAGAACATATGCCAGAAGATATGCCAGAAGATATGCCAGAACATCTGCCAGAAGATATGCCAGAACATCTGCCAGAAGATATGCCAGGTAGAATGCCAGAAGATATGCCAGATAGAATGCCAGATCGAATGCCAGAAAATATGTCAGATAGAATGCCAGAAGATTTGCCAGTAACAAAATGTATAAATGTCATGGTGGGGATCACACGAAGTAAAGTAATTGTATAGCATTTTTTGCTGATATATTGATGACATCATGTCAAACGAATATTAGTAGCTATGCAAAAATAGCTGGATCAATGCAGCTGATTTTTTGTTCATCCCAGAGGAAACTGCTGACACCAATCTGTGTGAATCGTCGAACTTGACATGGTGAGGTCAAACATTTTCTGTGTCAAATTTTGAAACCTATGGAACCACATATTTTGATATATTTTGGTCACTTTGAGATACTTGAAAAAAGTAACCATGCCATTTTTGCGGTACCCAATTTTGACCCAGTCAGTTACACGATGACCTGCAGATCCTCCACTTCCTGTTGATCTGCAGAGTTTGCAGCAACTTCAACCGTCCAATCTTCGTAGAATGTGTTTATACGTTTATACTTTATACAAATGTATAAACGTATGTATATATATATACACAATTATGTTATACATATTTACATAGATGCGCGCGTGCGTGCGTGTGTGTTATAACGATGGGAAACGTGGGGAAACCAGCAACCATCCCGTTCTCCACGCATCTTCCTCTCAGAAACCTGGCAGGACGTTGCTCGGCCCTTCAGTGCTGGTGCCTCTTTTGTTTCTGACGGCAGTCTCTGCGGATGCAAGTGCTGCTGGGACTTCAATATGAAAAATGGAGTGACTGGTGGGGTTAGATATGCAATAGTAAACTGATCTGGAAAAATAGTGAAACCATAGTATCATTAGTGACTAGTGCAATATCATGGGGATAGTAACCATGTTATGTGTGATGTCAGCGTGCCATGTTATTAGTCCTTAATGGGGGGGATCAGGGCAGGAGACCCCAGCTGAGCAGTCGGAATGGTGCGATGACAACCGCCTTAAACTTTGGGAGATTTGCGGATGTTTCATAATGTTTCAACATCCAGCGTTCTAGGAGCCACGAATTTGTCAGACTCATAGGAATATGATGACCTTCAACCATACAGCATTTAGCATAATTGAACCAATGGTGTATCATTTCACCTTTTTTGTGCTCTACCGCAAGAAGAAGGTCTTGCTACATTCATTTCACTAGTTCCTGGAACGTGCACCAAACCCAAGACCTGAGTTCAGACGTAGCAGCGTACAAGAAACGATGGTCACGTTGAGGACACTCAAAAGCAGCGCCTGATGCTGATGTAGCATGTGTTTGCATCACATAGGTGTGAGTTATCCAGCAGGAGCTGTCGTGGCAGCCTTTGCCACCGCGCCCTTCTGCGGCGCGCGGCCCGGGGCACCGCCAGGGGTACCGAGTGACCCCCGCAGCTCGTCAACGAGCAATCCAAGCAATCCAAGCAATCCAAGGCTCCACTTCGGCACTTTCGTCTTCGAAGTTAGGCCATTCAATGGTTTTGGCCTTGCTACATTAGGGTGCCATTATTATTGCGTCCAGGATGAGGAAAACAGCAACCAGCCAGCAACTGTGAAACTATCCAAGAATTCCAAGACATAGATGGCAGAACTCTAGCCGCATCCATTCATGTGAAGGCTGGTGGTTTGTCAAAATTCCCCGCCTCCCGTGAGTAAAAAGATGGTTGATCAACGCTTTCCTTGCAATATGTACCCTGACTGTCAGTCATAGTGATGGCTGACACCCCTACAACCAAGGAGCCTACCCGGCCTCAAGACCATGTCCTTTCCGTTAAAATGATATAGGCAACGTGATGCCATAAACAGCTACCATTTGGGAATTGTTTACACCACCCATTTCGGTTGATATTTGGGATAGATTATTCTTGGGTTTACATGGGTTTACCACATTGCTCGTTTTTAGTTTCTCAAAACCCCCCATTTACAGATGATTTTCCCATGAATTCTCAGCTCTAAACCTCCATATATACGAGGTAAGGTAAGGCCCCCGTTTACGATAGCTAAGTTGAAATACAAAACTAGGCGAACTACGTTGTATTCATAGGGGTTGTAAGCTAACATACTGTGATAGACTACCCTCTGGTCAACTAGCATAGCTATGGAAAACCCCCATCTTGAACAGGTAAATCAACTATTTGTATGGACCATTTTCAATGGCTATGTAACAAATTACCAGAGGGTCTGTTCCCATTACTTTCCCATCAAAAGCCCTGCAATCCAAGGACGACGGCCAGAGAAACCTCTACCTCCGGCGGACTGCCGAACGGCAGACCTTTATTGCCGGACAGTCCCTCGCACGACAAATGGGGAAGGGTTGATCTCTGGGATAACTTTTGTTCAATCGGATTTTTGGGGGATTTACTGGGGATTTATTGGGATTTCATGCCGATTTAATGGGATTTGGCACGCTTTAATGGGATTTGATGGGATACAATGTGAAATTAATTTAATTCAATGGTGTACTGGATGGTTCATACCGCAAAACAAAACAGACAAAACATGTCAAGGATGGTGTAGATGATGTTTTCCCTGTTCATAGCTGGAAAAATCATCGAACTAAATGGGTGCATTTTCCAGCAAGCACCGTTTGATGACCGGAGCTGAAGAATAGTTTAAGACTTGAACTGGTGTTTTTTCCGCTCGTGTTGATTTTCCGATTTATATCCTCTGGTAAACTAACATAACTATGTAAAATCACCATTTTTAATGGGTAAATCCGCTATTTCTATGGCCATTTTTTATTCCCGAGAGCGTCTGAGCGCAGGGTTCTTCCAATAGTGGGGGTCTGTAAAACATCTTCTCATCTTCACATCTCACATCTTCACATCTGCTCATCTTCACATCTGCTCATCTTCACATCTGCTCATCTTCACACCTTCTCATCTTCACATCTCTCATCTTCACATCTGCTCATCTTCACATCTGCTCATCTTCACATCTTCTCATTCTCATCTTCACACCTTCTCATCTTCACATCTGCTCATCTTCACATTCTGCTCATCTTCACATCTGCTCATCTTCACATCTTCTCATCTTCACATCTGCTCATCTTCACATCTGCTCATCTTCACATCTTCTTATCTTCACACCTGCTCACCTTCTCTCTCACGCCTTCTTTTTATCTTTCTCTCTTAAGGCCGAGGGTGGTGCCGGCGGCGAGTCACGAAACGTCAACCCTTTCGCACGAAATGAGGGTCGATCGGCAAAAACTGAGGAAAAATTGCGATTTTACTTGCCCCCGAGCAACCCTTTCGCACGAAATGAGGGTCGATCGGCAAAAACTGAGGAAAAATTGCGATTTGACTTGTCCTGGAGCAACCCTTTCGCACGAAATGAGGGTCGATCGTCAAAAACTGAGGAAAAATTGCGAGTTTACTTGTCCTGGAGCAACCCTTTCGCACGAAATGAGGGTCGATCGTCAAAAACTGAGGAAAAATTGCGAGTTTACTTGTCCTGGAGCAACCCTTTCGCACGAAATGAGGGTCGATCGTCAAAAACTGAGGAAAAATTGCGATTTTACTTGCCCCCGAGCAACCCTTTCGCACGAAATGAGGGTCGATCGTCAAAAACTGAGGAAAAATTGCGAAATTTACTTGCCCCCGAGCAACCCTTTCGCACGAAATGAGGGTCGATCGTCAAAAACTGAGGGAAAATTGCGATTTTACTTGTGCCGGAGCAACCCTTTCGCACGAAATGAGGGTCGATCGTCAAAAACTGAGGAAAAATTTCGATTTTACTTGTGTGTAAAAGCTTCTGTGTGTAAAAGCGTCTGTGTGTAAAAGCGTCTGTGTGTAAAAGCGTCTGTGTGTAAAAGCGTCTGTGTGTAAAAGCGTCTGTGTGTGAAAGTGTTTCTGTGTAAAAGTGTTTGTGTGTGAAAGCCTCTGTGTGTAAAAGCGTCTGTGTGTCAAAGCGTCTGTGTGTAAAAGCGTCTGTGTGTAAAAGCGTCTGTGTGTAAAAGACTGTGTGCAAAAGCGTCTGTGTGTCAAAGCGTCTGTGTGTAAAAGCGTCTGTGTGTAAAAGCGTTTGTGTGTAAAAGTGTTTGTGTGTAAAAGCCTCTGTGTGTAAAAGCGTCTGTGTGTAAAAGCGTCTATGTGTAAAAGCGTCTGTGCGTAAAGTAAAAGCGTCTGTGTGTAAAAGCGTCTGTGTGTAAA